ACCCTAAAGCCCCAAGCCTTAAACCCTGCACCCCTAAACCCTAAAACCCTAAACCCTAAACCCTGAACCCCTAAACCCTACAACCCAAACCCTTAGGTTTCTGTCGCTGGACGAGCCTTGTTCTGTTCACTTCGGCAGCTCCTTTCACCATTCGGCGAGGCATGCGCGTCTTGGCTGACTTCGGACTCTAGGGTCTCGGGACTGCGGATTTCGGGGTTTTGGGGTTTAGGGTTTGGTTTTTTTGGGTGGTTTTGGGGTTTAGGGTTTTGGGGTTTTGGGGTGGATGGTTTTGGAGTTTCAGTGGCTTTCATAGAGGATCTCGACCAGGGTTTGCTGCCTACTGAGTGGGACAGAGCAGCCAACGACTCTGCAAAAGGGTTCCTGCTGAACTACATCCCTAACATCTAAAGAAGCCCCAAATCACTCGAAGCAGAAACCTTAAATCAACCCTGAAGAAACCCTAATCAACCCGAAACAAACCTTAAATCAACTCTAAACCCAAACCATCGGAAGTCTGAGGCTGTTGGCCGCCCAGTACCCTGACGCTTCCGACCAGCTACAGGTGAGCTTGGCGATCCCAGATTGTTGTCGTTTAGGGTTTAGGGTTTAGCATCGCTATGATCACTATGATCAGTGGTCTCCTTGGTAGTAGTGCTATGTATATTGTCTGCCATGTTATTCTTGGGCGTTCCAGAAAAGAAGGGATATAGAACCTAAATAGTATGACCTTTGCTACATAAGGTATCCTTAATCAATTTTGCTGAACTCCCTTACTGTATCTCCAAGCCCTCATCTTTAAACCCTAACCCCCAAAAATTCTCATCCTCAGGCCGTAAACCCCAAATCTTAGCCTCCTCAACCCTGAACCCTTGCACCCTAAACCCAAAACTCTCATTCCTTGAGCCCTCAATCCCCAAAAAAGACTCTCTCTGGCCCACTGCCCTGAGGCACCCGAGGCTCTTGAGCTGTCGGCGGCCCTGAAGCTCGTTGAAAGCGAGCAGGAACCGGGTTTAGGGTAGTTTGGGTTTAGGGTGTAGGGTTTAGGATTCAGGGTAGCTTAGGTTTAGGGTGAGGGGTTTAGGGTTTAGGGTAGTTACCGGGTAGTTTAGGGTGTAGGGTTTAGGGCCTGAGGTTCGGGGTAGTTTAGGGTTAAGGGTTTGGGCTTCAAGGCAGTTTAGGGTAGTTTAGGGTTAAGGGTGTAGGCTTCAAGGCAGTTTAGGGTAGTTTAGGGTTTAGGGTGTAGGGTTCAAGGGCAGTTCAGGGTCTGCGGTAGTTCGGGTTTCGGGTTTAGGGCAGCGCGGGATTTCGTGCCCAAGCGTGAAGGGCTTGAAGCTCCGAGTCCAAGCTCGTTTATAGCTTTGCCAAACGACCCAAACCCTAAACCCGAAACCCTAAATCCCTAAACCCTAAACCCTAAGCCCTAAACCCTAAACCCGAAACCCTAAACCCTAAACCCTAAACGGTTCTTGAGCAGGAGACGGTGGACTGGAGCCACAATGCAAAGCTCAAGGCGCTTCCGACGTTGTCGCGGCTTGCGCCCTGGTTCTGGGCATGCTTAGCATAGGGGCCTTACTAGTTAGAGTAGGGTTTAGGGTTTAGGGTTTAGTGAGTTTAGTGTTTAGGGTTTAGGGTTTAGGGTTTCGGGTTGGGGGTAGGAATATACATAATCAGGAACCCCGAAACCCTATTCTAATCATGAAGGCCCCTACATTATGCTGCATGAGGGAGGCACTTCCAGGGCATCATCTCTGGCAGATTGGGATCCTTACGTTGGAGCCTTACACATGTATGCCTCGCAGGAATCCGCGAGCACTGTTCGAATGGTCAGTTTGAATGATCTTTGCAAAATTGTTACAGTTTAGTATAATGTAATCCCAAGGCTCAAGGGGTCATTAAAGGCTGGGTATCTACCTGGGCCTAAGGAGCTTGAGGCTGTAACCAGGCCAGTCCTTTCTGCATCCGAAGCGTGTAATGCCGCGGCCTCAACTATTGCTGGGGAGCGGCTCAGCTTAGGCTTTAGGTTTAAGGGTACCCTAAACCCTAAACCCTAAACCCTAAACTACTTTGGGTTTGTTAGGGTCCAAGTCACGGGTTCCGTTTACAGTGCAGCCTCCCATGGTTGCACCGCAGCCAGGCGATGGAGCGCATCCAGCGTGACAAATTCCAGCGGTGCGAAGAATTCCGCGACTGGGCCTGGCAAAGATGGGAAACTCGCTCTCGCTCTCGCTCTCGCTCTGTCTCTCTCTCTCTCTCTCTCTCTCTGTTTTCAGTTGTGGATTGTCCGTGGCCCTGTGCATGCTGTACGTACATACATATTTATGTCATGTGTATGTGTATATATATATATATACATATATATATATATATAGATACAGATGTATAATAGATAGCAAAAAAGAAATTTGACTCGGTATGGACGTGTCGAGAGCATGCGAGAATGACGGCTCTAGAGTACAGAGCTGGCCCGATTCAGTCTTAAGATCGGTTTTGTATGTTATTGTTAACCTATAAAGTATATAGTAGATTATGTATACTAGGTTATAGTATATTAGAGCATATAATGGTAGGTTATAAGTTGATCAGTAGGTACTGGTATATTATCTATAGGTTATTGTTTATTATAGTGTGTTTATAGTATGTGAGGATGCGTAACGTTCGCTGCACACTGTTCCGATGCCGTTGCGTGCCCCGACCCGCAAGAACCCCGTGACCTTAAGCCCTAAGCCCTAAGCCCTAAACCCTAAACCCTAAGCCTTAAACCCTAAGCCCAAAACC